ACTTTCTCTTCCACCCAAAGGACATCAAATCACGAATGGGGCCTTCGACAGGAAAGTCCAAAGGGGGAAAGGAAGCCAACAGAGTAACTTTAATATATTTTTTGGTTGATTTTTCTTACATTACTCAGTAATGACAAGTGTGCCAGGAGGCAAGGGCACTCTTGATTTACGAAAATATTCAAGAAACTAAGATTAAGAAACAGAAGTAGCTTCAGGGTAGATATGGCCAAGCAAGGGAATCACACTGTATGTAGGCTGTGCTTTGGGGAGGGAAGAGATTATAAGAGTGAAAGTTAAATCAGAGCTGAGTCCAAACAGGAAGGGGGGGGTGGAAGGGCCTGGCAGGGTGGGCAGCCCATGGGACACAGAGGTGAGACAGGCAGAGGTTACAGCAGCTGATGAGAAAAGAACAAGGAAAGATGAAACCTGGAGAATTTACGAAACATGCATCATTAGATAATCTATTGCACATATATATACACACTATGTAGCATACACACCAAATATACATAATATACATAGCAAAAGGTGTAAATGCATATATCTGTAGACATTAATTAATGAAAAATAATATATAGAGATTTGGGAGATATTTAATGTAACAGTATAATTAATATTCTTTTCACTGAAATTAAAAAATAATAGAAACATGAGAATGAGAAAGAAGAGGTGTGCAGAGAAACAAATGAGCTGTTAGACAGCAGGGAGAAATGACCAAGGAAACCGTGAATGAGGCACAAGGCATTCACTCTTTGCTCTTACTGGGATCCTGGTTCTGGCTTTGGACTCCAGGGAAAGTGGGCAAGAGAGCATGCGTCTGAGCCAGTGGGTTGTGTCTTGGCTGGGGGTGTAAGTATCCATAGTGAAACAAAGGAGAATGTGGTGGGAAGAAATCAGTTTAAATTAGTTACACAGCACAGGTAAGGGAGCTGCACATCCCTGACACCCACTGAGTTGCCGTCTGGGTGTCCTCTCTACAGACCCAAGCGGTGCTCATTATCTCATGTGACCCTTCCTCCTCCTGAGGACAGGGGTCCCCATATTCCTCAGCCGAGGCCTTAGGATGAGAAATAGACGGGACAAAGAGTAAGAATGAACAGGATACAGGACACTAAGGAAATCTGAGCAAAGTGGATCCCTGTGAGAAGGAAACTGAGGACATGGCCGAGGACAATGAGTGGAGATGACCAACTAAATGGATTTCATAAGAGACAGATGTGAACACTTTATAAGTGAAAATTGCCCTTTGTGTTCAAAAAGAGCAGAACAGGAGAAAGAGGAGCTGGACGTGTCCATGACACTGACATGTTAGTCCAGGATTTACACTGTTCCTGAATGTGCCTCATAGGTTGTCACTGAAAGTGCCTGACAGTGGAAAATTGGCTTCATGGGGGATGGGGAAGGAGAGGAAGAAAACTGACAGAGGAGTATATGTGAGAAAGGAAGGAGAGGGGACTCTAGGAACAGAGAGCTCACAACTGCTCTACCTCAGAGAAGACAGAGTCTGTGAAGTTACTTTCTAAATGTAAACTTGGGCAGAAAGACAAATAGATTAAATAACACGTATTTATAGGTCTGTTGAGTACTTGTTATCAATCAGGCCCTTTGGAAATTATGATAATTAATACTCTCAGCGATGATTACCAGTAGATATATTTTAGGTAGCTCAGATGAGAAAACAGATTTGCATAGCAAAAAGACAAAATCCTGGGCCAGCGTGAACAACCAGAAGGAGGCAAACCCGGGACCCGAGAGCAGATTTTTTTCCTAAGCCCCAGGCTCCTGCTCACCTTACTGGGGTTGGAGTACTGTGCATTTAACTTGACCCTGAGGGAGCACAGAGAGGCTCCATTCTCTCCTCCACCCATAGCACCATGAACACCAACACCTGGGCTAGATCTTCCTATCCCCTTTCCTTCCCTAGCTTGGAAGAAACATTGGTTACCAGAATAAGCATTGACTCTAAAGCTGCAGGTGGTGGAGGAAGGCCCCGCCTGGCTGAGCCACTCCCAGAGTGGAAACCTTGATCTAGCTCACCTTGTGGACAACTTGGCACCAGGGTGCTTGGATCCAGCTGTGTCTGTGAAGCCTGCACCTTGACAGGCGGGGGCTCAAGTCTCCACTCCAAGTCCCTTGGGGACAGGTGGCCTGGGTGGAAGCTGAAAGGAGAAGAGCTTCAGTAGGAACAATCTCAGATTTCCCTTTGTAAAGCACCCCCAGAACATGCATCTCTGCTGTCCCTGTTTCTTGGTAAGGCCACCTAGTGGCCCAAGCCACACAGAGAGACATCATGTAAATGCAGGTGATGTCACCTTTCCTGTCTGTACCTGGGGACACTGTCATGGCAAGTGCCAGGCTAGAGTGCCCCTGAAGTGAAAAACCCCTCCTTCAGCCAAGAGAACTTTGGATTGGCTATAAAGGTCATGACGATTAGTCTGTCATTATCAATCTCTTTCCTCTGCCTACAGGGAAAGTGCTAGAGAGCCCTCAGAACATAGGAGAGGAAGAACTGTTCTCCACAACACAGGTGTGTAAGAACAGGGCAAGCGCTAGTGCCAGGAGGCTTTGAGAGAGAACCATGAGAAAGACCAAACACTAAGTGAGGCTAACATTTCGGGGTTCTGAGACATTTTGAATTTCTCATTGCCTGTAATGATTTAACCCCCTGCCCACACATCTTCATCCTAGTGCCATATAATAATGGGTGTCAGCAGCCATAGGCAATGTAGTGGAGGGATGAGTTTCTTCACAGAAATTCAGGGACCATAAGAGCTATACATCTGCATGGGTGGTTCTGTAGGAAGGGAACACAGGGCACAGTCCTCACATTACCCACTCTCCAGTGGGGTTCGGGCATACATCCTAAACAACTATTTCTATTTCCACAGGGAGAGGAATGCACATTCTCAGAGTGGACTAAGGAAAGACTTCCAATGACCTCATTCCTGTGCAGTTCTGGCTCAGGACAGGGACAGGGTGCAGGGCCAGATCCACATTGCTAGGGCTCCTTTCTCTCTTCCCCTCTCCTCATTCTCATTCACTACAAGACTTCCTAAATTTTCTTAAAAACTGTGCTCCTTGTGTCTATTCTCTTTTGTCTTCCTGAGAGCACAGTGTATCAGAGTCTCATCAGTGATGCCTGGTTTCATACAGCCTCCCTCTCTCCTTTCTCTGACCTTGCCGTGTCCACTCTAGCAATTGTCTCAGCAGTTTTATCTCCCCAAAGTTCTGTTCTCACCATGTTCCCACTCTGCACCTGAACACTTCCTCTCCACTGCCCCCTGCGTGACTGTCCTTCTCATCCTGCCTCTGTGCTCCTTCTCACTTCTGCCCCACGATCCTACCCAGCATCACCTTCGACCACGTGCTCAAACAGACTCTTCCTGAGGTCATGCTGGCCCCTCTGTGGTTCCACCCCTGCGCCAGGTGCCATCCAGCTCTGTGGTTTCTGTTTAGAAGCCCTTCTCTAGACTGGGTTTCACCTCCCTAGTGGCTCAAAGCTTTCCTTGTGTCTGTTCTCTTTCATCTTCCTGAGAGCACACTTTATTCATCATTGACCATCAGCCACTTAGGACACTCTCACATTTTAAGATAGCTCATATTGGGCAAATGAGAGAAACATCCTGAAACAACAAATCTGGCTGATGGAGACTGGGCAAACACAGTGCTCCTTTTCTGATTCTCTGCACTTGCTGTTTAGAATCAAGCTCTGGGAATGTCTTTAATTGTCACTACTTAATTTTCTCATCTCACTTTATCCCTCTTTTCTAGACTACTGAGTCTTATTAAACTTGTACTTTGAATATTCTTTGCATTTTCAGAAGAAAAAAGAAAACGTTTTCTCAAACTTCTGAAGTACTGCAGTACTGTTCATGGGGCAGGTTGGGAGAAGCCATCAAGGAAAGATCCAGAGATAATTTAGGTTGTATTCTCCCTAAATCTACCAAGTCTTTCTCTGCAGGGAGAGCATGGGCAGAGCCGAACCATGCTGACACCACTGCTGGGGTCAGAGCTGTGCACTGTGCACACTATTCACACATTATTGTCGAGAAGCCACACACAGGAAGCATCCTTGTGTAATCTGAAGGACGCGTTCGTTCATCTTGGCCCATCTGCATGGATGAATGTGCCCTCTCCTGGCCCATGTTCCAGATGGCAGGGCCGGCCACATCACAGGCATCTCACTTCTAAGTCCCGTTTCAGAGCATTTCCCTTCTTGTACAAGACCCATCCAGGCTGGGTGTTCAAGAGATGCAGCTCTACAGTTTTATAGAAACCTAAACATGGCCAAGTTGAGAGTTGAAACCCTTGGGATGGGGAGGTGGGGAGAGACTAGGACCATTACTCCCTGAGTGCTTTTCCAAGGGAGAGCCTGCTGGAGCTGTAGGTCCTCCTGGAAAGACTGGAGGAGCCACTGATTCTGCTGACAGACAGAGTGCACAGAGGTAATCCTTGAGAAATCTGTGCCAGGGACTACAGGACTTCTTTATCCTAGACCAGCAACTTATTCTGTTTCAGCCTGACTTTATTGGAAAATAATTTCTACAAAGAAAAAAGGGTGAGCACCCATCATACCTCAGTCCCTGGGAGATGAAATCAGGCAGACAAAAAGACCATGCTCTCACCATGACTAGTCGTGCCATCCAGGGCAAGTGAAAGAAACTTCTGAGCCTCAGCATCCTCAGCTCTACCATGGAGATGCCACTGCCCCCTTGGGAGCATTTCTTCAGCTCTGAATGTTTATAGCAGGACAGAGCTTGTTTGGCAAGGGGCAGGGCATATGCATATGAAAGGTCAAAGAGTATTTTATTTGTTTAATGAATCACTGTGATCACAGAAAATTATTTGCTTTTTCAAACTCAGGGAGAAATGCAAAACCGGAAAAGGTATGGTCCTGCTAGGAAAAGGCACTCAATGACTGAAACAGAATAGAGACGAACATTTTTGTTGCTAGTTTCTCTCTCCTCCTCTCTCTCTCTCTCTCCTCTCTCTCTCTCTCTCTCTCTCTCTCTCTCTCTCTCTCTCTCTCTCTCAGTGTGTGTGTGTGTGTGAATGTGTGTGTGTGCGTGACACAGATCTCACCTTGTTGCTCAGGCTGGAGTGCAGTGGTGCAATAATGACGTACTGCAGCCTCAATTTCCCAGGCTCAGGTGATTCTTCCACCACAGCTTCCCATAAAGTTGGAAGCACAGGTGTGTGTCATCATGCCTTGCTAATTTTTCATCAAGACATGTTTTTGTAGTGTTGCCCACACTGGTCTCAAACTCCTCAGCTCAAGCAATCTACCCTCTTCAGCCTCCAAAAGTGCTGGAATTACAGGCATGAGCCACCGCACCTGGCACTGTTGCTAATTTTATTACAACGTAATCAGATATACTGGGGTACATCACAGAGTTACCTGCTCTTACTAGAAAATAATAGGTTGATGCTTGAAACTCCCAACAATGCACATGAAACTCCCAGAATGGAAGTTAAAAAAAATACAATGAGCAAGAAGAAATGAAAATCAAATTTTTCTCTACATATCCTGTGAAGCTGCTACACCAAGGGGCACTTGCTCAGCGGAAGGGTTTCCTGGACATCATGAGGATAGAAACCACTCCACTTTGCTCATCAGTTACGCCAGTACCCCATGAGGGACACTCATTCTCAATGGTTTTCATGAGAATATAGCACTGAGACCAAATCACGATTCAAACAACAAGCCCACACATGGAAAAAGCCACTGGAGCTCTGCAGAGCATGCAAGCCTGGGCCTGAGTAAAGGAAGGGACACTGGACTGCGTCAGTGGAGGGAGGTCACCTCCCAGCAGGTAGAGCCGCAGTCCCCAACCTTTTAGGCACCAGCATCCGGTTTCATGGAAGACAATTTTTCTGGGTCCAGGGAAAGGGGGAAGCTTTCCGGATGATTCATGCACATTACATTATTTGTGCACTGTTTTTCTATGATTATTACATTATAATATCTAATGAAATAATTATACAACTCACCAAATCAGTGCAAGCCCTAAGCTTGTTTTCCTGAAACTAGATGGTCCCACGTGGGGGTGACAGTCACTGGGAGACAGTGACAGATCATCATGCATTAAATTCCCATGAGGGGTGCAGAACCTAGATCGCTCACATGTGCAATTCACAATAGGGTTCGAGTCCTGTGAGAATTGAATGCCACTGCTGATCTGGCAGGAGGCGAAATTCAGGCGGTCATGCTCTCCCACCGCTGACCTCCTGCTGTGTGGCCCAGTTCCTAACAGGTCATGGCCCCACAACTGTCCATGGCCCTCGAGCTGGAGATCTCTAGAGTAGAGAATCCTTATCAGACACAGGAATTCTACAATGGGCTCTGAAATAATGGTGCAAAACTGCCTGGATGTGTGGATGGCCAGAGAAGAGATAAGGGCACTGTTCAAGGCATGCAGTTAGCAACATCATTTGAGAAAAGACAGATGCCCTATCTTACAGAAGAAGGTTTTTATGCAAATATATCCAGATGGGCTACTGTGGCCAAAAACTTGCTATGAGTCCTGACCTCTTTCCTGTTTTCATGCCCACAGCCTGTTCTTGTGAGAAGAAACCAGGTGACCGAGGAGTCACTTGGGACAGGAAAAGAGGAAGTTCCTCCCACTGGATGTCTGTGATTAAAAATGGAGCCAAGAGTCAGATTCAAAACTGAGGCAGGCTCAGTTTACGGGGCCTGCCTGCATTGATGATCTGACTCAGTGACACAAGTTGCAGAAACATAACATACAGAGGCTGCCTGGGAGGACCATGGGGTTTTGGGACCTTCAGGCTGCAGTACTCACAGGCTACATCCAGTGCAGGGCATGTGAGTTGATTCTCCAGTGAGGACGAGGCACTGCTATAAGGCTGGTGGTAATCAGACAGGTCACCCTGAACTGGAAGAGCCCAGTAAAGGTCATCCAGGGAGTCTTCTGAGGCTTTCTGCTCCTTTGCCTCCAGTAGCTCCTGGCTCAGCCTGGGGTGAAGAAGACAGAAGATAAACACTGGACAGGACCCATACGACTGCACCCAGATGGTTCTATAGGGAGGACCACAGGAGAGGCCAGAGGAAGCCAAGTATGGTCCTCTCAGAGAGACACAACCATCCTTCCCTGTGTGGAGCAGGAGACAGAGTGGCAGGTGCTCAGTGCACTGGGCAGACAATGAGCTGGGGAGGAAGAGCTGGAGGGATCCCTGTGGGAGACTGCCAGGACACAGTGCATTCAGCACTTTCACACACATTTTGTTGAAATTAGCATCAGAGGCCAAATGAATGCAGGTTCTTGCATCTTCACAGAAAGAGTTCCTGTATCCTCAACCTCGCTTGTTCTCAAAACTGTGAGCATGATATGAATTGTTTTCATTCACTTTCCTGCTAGCAAATACTTGCAAACATGGAAATGCCAAAGAGGCAGACAACAGGTGAGATCGGAAATCCCTGAGTTTAGTCTGTTCACCTGACCTTTCGCCTAACTTACGTTCTTTCTGAGACCTTTTCTAGATTTCACCACCCATTACCCGCTCCTGATTATTCAGTGTTACCTGGGGGCAGCTGATTTCTCTGCTTTCTCACCGTCCTCATCTGTTTCATATCGATGTTTATCATTTTCTGGAATTACAGAAGCATCTATTCAGATATTTCCCACTTTACCCACTGAAATCACAGTCAGCCCTATGTGTACCGAGACATGAGCATGCATCTATGGGTCTGCATTGGGCTGAGCACTGTCATGTTTTATTTTTAACCTGACAGGTTTTCCCAATCCATGAGGCCACATGTTTCTGATCTGGAGGGTCACCATCAAGATGTGGCCAAATAGTGAAAAGACATCTTGCTCCCCATATTACTGCAGGCTTGCCCAGCCTCTCTCCAAGCTTCAGCAGTTGTCTCCCCAGTCATGCCTCACTTCTGATACCCAGGCACAGGCTCTGTGTCCTGTTACAGCTTACATTAAAACCTGTATCTTTCTCTTACGACAGGACAAACTAAGTTGTCCCACTATACTCCACAAATCTAGGACTTCGTGGGCCCTCCAAGAGGCTTCTGCTGTCTTATCCAGGAACACACTCTCCATGTGGAGTGTGTGGAGATAGCTTCCTACCACCAAATGCCCCCACATCAAGTGCCTTCTCCAACACCACACAGCAAGGGGTTTTATCTCGTTGTAAAATATACTTGTAAGTGTGCCCACCTTCGAATGCAAGAGACAATTTGTCTGCTTTTACAGATTTAGAGACAGGACCTCAGGAAGGATGATTTAATCAGTTACCCACAGTTGCTAAAGACACTGCTGAAGATAGAGCCTGGAACCCTCATTCTTAGTCCAGGGCTCTTTTGACTCTAACAAGCTGCCTCCTGTCACAGCCTTTCCTGTCCTTTAAAACTGGACAGATGCTGCCTCCTGCCACAAAGAGCACATTTCAGCAAGAAATGAGGAGACATTTGCCATACTGTGACCTCCGACAACATGGGTTTTCCATCTCAGTTTCTGCCCAGGATGTCCTGGTCATGTCATGGCTATGAAATTTAGTGTAAAGAAATAAAATTGTCACCGTGGAGGTGTGGTGGTCTGGGGACTTTCATAAGCGTGGGGCTGTGTGTCATCAGGGCCTATGCCCACCTTACCTGGGCTGAGCCTGCTGACACATTGCTCAGCCAGCCTGGGCCCCTTAGCCAGCTCCTCTCGGAGGTTCTGACGCTCCCAGTTGTCAGGGTCATCAGGAGGGAGGTGGACCTCAAAATGCTGATCCACTGAGCAGGAGGCATCTCTCACTTTTCGTAATTCATACTTTAACTGTGCCAGCTGCTCTGTCTGACGGTAATTCAGGGCTTTATATTTCCTATAATGAGACAGCAGAGAGGTTTAATAATGTAAAGGGATGAGTGACCAGTTCTAATACTGCGATGGAGGTTTAGGTAAAAATGTCCTCAAGGAGCCCCCCATGCAGAACATCACAACATGTTTTAGGAAATGCCTGTGGTCCAGAGGAATGTGTGTTTGTCTGTGTGTGTGTGTGTGTGTGTGTGTGTGTGTGTGTGTCTATAGCATATCTACCTTTATATCTATATATTTTGAGATGACAAAGATTAAACCACAAGGGATTGAACCCCAGGAATTTCCAACTGGTTTTCACAGGAGGCATAAAGTAGTGGTCCCAGAAAGCAAAGGGGAGGTTCCGTTTAACAGGGAACAGGCAATCCTCCTCTCTCTGCAACAGAGCACGGCTGCCATATTATGTATATACAATATAATAATAAATAAATATGCATTTATTTTTTAAAGCAGAGCATGGTAGCTCATACTGGTGATCTGAGCACTTCGAGATTCTGAGGTGGGCAGAACCTGAGATCAGGTGTTTAAAACCAGCCTGGCCAACATGGTGAAACCCTGTCTCTACCAAAAATACAAAAATTAGCCAGGCATGGTGGTGCACACCTGTAGTCCCAGCTACTCGGGAGGCCGAGACGGGAGAATTGCTTGAACCTTGGAGGCTTCCTCTGTATCAGAGGGAGCTCCTGTGAGATCTTGTATGATGTTCCATTCATTTTTGTCTTCTGTAAACAAAAGTCAGTCTTCCCAAATCGGTTTCAAAAGGATGTCCTTTCAGCTTCTCACTTTAGCCGTGGACATTTCTATGTGAAAACTCCCATAGTACATCGGGCAGTGACTGGAAACAGAGCCATGCACAGAAGTGTGGCCTGGTGCAGATGGGGTGAATTGTAAAGATGAAAGAAGAAAAAAATGACAGATAAAGAAGGCAGTATGGATTGAATGAATGAGTTGCAGTGGTCAGCCAGGAGGTGACTTTAAGAGTACATGGGATAGAGTGTACTAAACGCTGCTGGGTGGTTCACTATTTTTTAATTAATTTTGGATATACAAATTTTGACTCAACAATTCATTGTTATAAAAAGTGTAAACAAAGCTCAAGGAAACAACTGCAGCCGGTAACGTGCTAAGATGACTGTTCTGTTTTATGAGTGCTGCTGTGAAATGTGCCTGCCACGTAAATGGCTGTCCTGGTCCTGGCCCAGCTTAGCTGCTGGTTCTCCCAGCTGAAGTGCTGCACTTCAGAGATCCACACCTTTGCCCCCCACCTGTCCCCACAGCGTCTGCTCACCTGAGCTCCTCAATTAATTTCAACTCTTCATATATTGTTTCTTCTCCTATTCGATATAGATCTTTTTCCAGAGACTGGATGTTGAGGTGGTATGCATCACAGTCTGAGAAAAGAAAGTCATGCCAGCCTCAGTGGAAGGCTGGACAGGCTGTTGTGGTCACTGCCTACATGGCAGGTGGCAGCATTTATCCCAAGGACAAAGGCATCTCCACTATCAGGCTCCAGTGAGGGATTTTCTCATTTTTAGTTATAAACCTTCCAACTCACTGGCATCTGATACTCTCCAACTTAGAGATGGGGAAAAAGAAACTCAGTGGCACATCAAGTAACACCTGGAATGAGACAGTCAGAATTCACAGCCCCCAAGGTCTGACTCTAAGTTTTGGGCCACGTTCCCAACCTTGCAGCCTCTCCTGTAAAACACTCTATGGGGGCATGAAGTACTGATATTCTGGACAGGAATGCCCTTAGGACTGTGGGACTCATAGATTCCCTGGAACTGGAAATTTTAAGCACAAATTTGTCAAAAATTTGAAAAATCATATCTGAATATAATTGCATAAAATATGAGGCATTGGACCCTGAAATCATAAAAGAAATGTGGCTAAATACTAATAAATTTTGAATTAAGTTAGAAATAGTAGAATAAAAATGAATAGTGTTTACTCTGTGCCAAGTATTGTTCTAGGAGATTTAAAAGAAACAGGTCATGTAATTCATTGCAGCAATTTACAGAGGTAGGTATTATTATAGTACCCAAAGAACAGATGAGGAAACTGAGGCACCGAAAAGCTCGGCTACTTAGATGGAACCCAGGATTCTGGCCCAGGATTCCTACTCTACACGCTACACTGTGACCTCCACAATGTCTAATGGGCCGTTGTTCTTCCTCTTTAGAATAAAAGCCTGTGACCCAGGATGCAGAACAATCCTCTCACAAGGGTACTTCCTGCTCTTGATGCCCTCACGTATAGATGCCACACTCACCATTGGGAGCAGAGGCTAAAGGTCTTATCTCTTGATTTTGTTGGTTTCCTGTCTGATTTTTTTTCTCTGCTATATGAACCGTACTATTGAGAGGGGAATACAGATAACATCAAATGCTGATGAATGCTCAGCCTTTTCTTCGGAGTAGCCACACATATAAAACACTTTCATGTTGGCAACCTGAGGTCACAGAAGACCAGTTGTCTTCCTCATCTTCAGCCATATATCAGAATCACATGGGAGCATTTTAAAACTACAGACACCCAAACCACTCCCCAGATGATGTCAGTGAGAATCTCAAGATGTGAGTTCAAGGCATGCATCTAAACTGAAATCTCACCAGCTGTTTACTACATGGCAGTAGGATTTAAAGATACAAAATGGAACAACCCAATTACCAATCATTTTCTTTCCTTTCCCTGTTTATCTCATGATTGGCTTTGCTTCCTGTGGTTTCATGGATTTCAGTCTTCTCTCTGACAACTTCAGTGAAATCTCTCTCTTATCAATTGGGCTGAACCGAAGCAAATATTGTCCTGTAGACAGATGCTTGTCTGTCATCTTGTGTAGCATAAAGCAGGTCCTGGAGTCACTTTTCTTAAAGTTAATTCAGAAATGTTCTCTCATATACCCTGGCCTCAAGATTCATCTGAGTTGCATTATAGACCCTTAACCAGACATGTAGAAATGGAAATGAGAATAAAATGGAGAGAGGTTAGAATGATATATCTCATGACGTATGCAGATTTGAAGTCCTGTCCTCTGCATGTACTTTTGCATGTCATAAATGTCATTCAGTTAATGTCAGCACAAATGAGTCCATTAGGTGAGAATACTGAGTCCCTGGCAATTCCATCTACATTGTCACAAGTCTGCACATCTGGGGCTGAAGGCAAACCTGGCTCCAGTCCAGTAGAGAACTCCCACTTGTGACCCAGATTCAAGTTCAGTTTTATATGTGGGGCTCTCTGTGCTCAGCTTTAACACTTCTCATTCAGAGGAATAAGAGATGAGTAAGGGTGAACTTAGCTGGGTTCCTCCAAAGCCAACTTAAGAGAAAAACCCATGTGTAAATGATGTATTAAAGCCATGCTCCCTGCAGAAAGCAACAATAAAGTTGGGGATAATGGGAGGAAAGGTAAATTTCTGAAGAGAGTGTGTAATTCCAGGCAAGAAACCCTGTGTTCTGTAGCTTAAACTGTGTACTTTAATGAGGACAATGAGGCCCGGCATTCCCGTGGTCATGAGAGAGACCGTCAAGCCAGCAGAAGAAGGAATAGAGCAGAGTTCAGAGAGCAATGAGGAGATGAGACCAGAAAGGGCCTGGCAGCATGGGAGCCCATGGGACACTGGGGTAAGACCAGACAGAGGTTACAGCTGCCCCTGGGGAGAACAAATGGAAAAGAAAAAGCAGTGGGAGAATGGGCTGTCACCATAGACAGAGAGAAATAAGAAGTGAGTGCAGCTCAGAGCCATAGAAGTGATTACCTCTGCACCCGGAGCGTGAAGTCCAGCAGAACCATTTGCTGAAAGGGAGCTTTCGTTTGATCTTCTTGGGTTTTGCAACACTGGAGGCATCAATGTTCCCAGGCACTTGATGCCACTGAGTGGTTGATGAGCCTTCGAGTGGATCATCTTCCATCTGCAGAGGGTTCTTCATCGCAATGGAGGGGGCTAAAACCAGCTCTGAAAATAAAACACAGCCAATGGCATCCACGATCTTACTGTGATTTCCTCTTCCACCCAAAGGACATCAAATCACGAATAGGGCCTTGGACAAGAAAGTCCAAAGGGGGAGGGGAACCCAACAGAGTAACTTTAATATATGTTTTTGTTAATCTTTCTTACATTACTCAGTAATGACAAGTGTGCCAGGAGGCAAGGGCACTCCTGATTTACAAAAATATTCAGGAAACTAAAGATTAAGAAACACAATTAGCTTCAGGGTAGATATGGCCAAAGCAAGGGAATCACACTGCATGTAGGCTGTGCTTTGGGGAGGGAAGAGATTATAAGAGTGAAAGTTAAATCAGAGCTGAGTCCAAACAGGACAGCGGGGTGGAAGGGCCTGGCAGGGTGGCAGACCACGGGACACAGAGGTGAGACCAGACAGACCTTACAGCAGCTGATGGGAAAAGAACCGGGGAAGACTAAACCTGAAGAATTTACAAAATGTGCATCATTATATGATCTATTGCACATATATATATACACACTACGTAGCATACACACCAAATGTACATAATATACATAGCAAATGGTGTAAATGCATATATCTGTAGAAATTAATCTAATGAAAAAATAATATATAGAGATTTGAGAGATATTTAATGTAACAATATAATTAGTATTCTCTTCTATTGAAATTTAAAAAATAATAGAAACATGAGAAGAATGAGAAAGAAGAGGTGTGCAGAGAAACAAATGAGCTGTTAGACAGCAGGGAGAAATGACCAAGGAAACCGTGAATGAGGCACAAGGCATTCACTCTTTGCTCTTACTGGGAGCCTTGTTCTGGCTTGGACTCCAGGGAATGTGGGCAAAACAGCATACGTCTGAGCCAGTGAGTTCGGGCTTGGCTGACAGTGTAAGAATCCATAGTGAAAGAAAGGAGAATGTGGTGGGAAAAAATCAGTTTAAGTTAGTTACATGGCACATGTAAGGGACGGCACATTCCTGACACCCACTCAGCGCCTTTCAGGTATCCTTTCCACAGATCCAAATGGGGCTCATTATCTCATGTGACCCTCCCTCCTCCTGAGGACAGGGGTCTCTGTATTCCTCAGCTGAGGGCTCCAGGAGGAGATATTGCCTGGGACAAAGCATGAGAATGAACAGGATCCAGGGCATTAAGGAAATCTGAGCAGAAGTGGATCCCTGTGAGAAGGAAACTGAGGACATGGCCGAGGGCATGAGTGGAGATGACCAACTAAATGGGTTTTCATAAGAGACAGATGTGAACACTTTCCGTGTGAAAATTGCCCTTTGTTTTCAAATCAAGCCCTTCTCTGCAGGGAAAGCTTGGGCAGAGCAGATACACACTGACACCATTGCTGGGGTCAGGGCTGTGCACTGTGCACACTATTCACACATTATTGTCGAGAAGCCACACATAGGAAGCATTCTTGTGTAATCTGAAGGGCGCATTCATTCATCTTGGCCCATCTGCATGGATGAATGTGCTTTCTCCTGGCCCATGTTCCTGATGGCAGGGCTGGCCACATCACAGGTATCTCAGTTCTGAGACATGTGTCAGAGCAGTGTCTCTTTCTTTTTGTAGGAGACCCATTCTGGCTGGTGTGTTCCTGAGATGCAGCTCCACAGCTTTACAGGGACCTAAACATGGCCAAGTTGAGAGTTGAAACCCTGGGGATGGGGAGGTGGGGAGAGACTAGGATCATTTATTCCCTGAGTGCTTTTCCAAGGGAGAGCCTGCTGGAGCTGTAGGTCCCCCTGGAGGGACTGAAGGAGCCACTGATTCTGCTGATGGACAGAGTGCACAGAGATAATCCTTCTTGAGAAATCTGTGCCAGGGACTACAAGACTTCTTTACCCTAGACCAGCAACTTATTCTGTTTCAGCTTGACTTTATTGGAAAATAATTTCTACAAAGGAAAGAGGATGTGCACGCATCGTGGCTTAGTCCCTGACAGAACCCCCACAGAGAAATGACAGAGACTGGGCCATGAAGTCAGGCAGACAAAAGGACCATGCTCTCACCATGACTAGTCGGGCCATCCTGGGCAAGTGAAGGAAACTTTTATAGCCTCAGAATCCTCAGGTCTAACATGGAGATGCCACTGCCCCCTTGGGAGCATTCCTTCAGCTCTGAATGTTTATAGCAGGGTAGAGCTTGTTTGGCAAGGGGCAGGGCATATGCATATGCAAGATCAAAGAGTATTTTGTTTGTTTAATGAATCACTGTCATCACAGAAAACTATTTGCTTTCTCAAACTCAGGGAGAAATGCAAAAGGGGAAAGCGATGGTCCAGGTAGGAAAGGCACTCACTGACTGAAACAGAATAGAGACCAACATTTTCATTGCTAGTTTCTTTCTTTGTGTGAGTGTGTGTGTGTATGGATGTGTTTGTGTCTGTGTTTGTGTGTGTGTGAGTGTGAGTGTATGTGTGTGACACAGGTCTCACCTTGTTGCTCAGGCTGGAGTGCAGTGGTACAATGATGACACACTGCAGCCTCAATTTCCCAGGCTCAGGTGATTCTTCCACCACAGCCTCCCATAAAGCTGGAAGTACAGGTGTGTGTCACCATGTCTTGCTAATTTTTCATAGGGACATGTTTTTGTAGTGTTGCCCACACTGGTCTCAAACTACTCAGCTCAAGCAATCTACCTGCCTCAGCCTCCTAAAGTGCTGGAATTACAGGCATGAGCCACCGCACCTGGCACTCTTGCTAATTTTATTACAACATTATCAGATATCCTAAGGTACATCACAGAGTTACCTGCTCCTACTAGAAAATAGACTGATGGTTGAAACTCCCACCAATCCACAAGAAACTCCCAGGATGGAAGTTTAAAAAAATACAATGAGCAAGAAGAAATGAAAATTGGAATTTTTCTCTACATAGCCTGTGAAGCTGCTACACCAAGGGGCACTTGCTCAGCGGAAGGGTTTTCTGGACATCACGAGGATAGAAACCACTCTGCTTTGCTCATCAGTTAGGCCAGTACCCCGTGAGGGACACTCATTCTCAATGGTTTTCATGAGAATATAGCACTGAGACCAAATCACGATTCAAACAACAAGCCCACACATGGAAAAAGCCACTGGAGCTCTGCAGAGGATGCAAGCCTGGGCCTGAGTAAAAAGGAAGGGACGCTGGACTGCGTCAGTGGAGGGAGGTCACCTCCCAGCAGGTAGAGCCGCAGTCCCCAACCTTTTGGGCACCAGCATCCGGTTTCATGGAAGACAATTTTTCTGGGTCCAGGGTAGGGGGGATGGTTTTCGAATGATTCAGTCACATTACATATTTTGTGTACTTTATTTCTATGATATTTCCATTACTCCACACACTACACTGTGACCTCCACAATGTCTAATGTGCTGTCTTAATTCCTCTTTAGAATAAGAGTCTGTGCCCCAGGAAGCAGGACTTCCCTCTGACCAGGGTACTTCCTGCTCTTGATGCCCTCATGTATAGATGCCACACTTACCGTTAGGAGCAGTCTCCTCTTTAAGCTCTTTAGAGCAGGTACTCTGTACTGTCACTACATTTCCCCCAGGGTCCCCAGAACAGAGATTTGCCTACTGGGTCTCAAAGAAGCTAAAACCGAATGGCAGTTCTTTGGTCCCAGACATTTACCAACAGACTACAAGTTATTTGTGTGCAGGATCTTACAGGGCACAGAGAGGATTCTCTTAAATGTGATATAGCCTCTTGCTGAGGAAAGTAAGTGCCTCTGTGTCTGTGTGAGAGTCGGTAAGTAGGATTTCAACTCTAGCCCCACCTCACACCGGACTGCTAACGTGGAGGGGTTGCTAAACACATCGTGCCTCCATTTCCCATCCTTAACACAATGAAGTTAAAATACCCATTTCTATTTTCCTAGAACTAAAGAAAGGATGAAATTAATTTAGATGAAGGGACCATTCAGTATCTCAGAGAGAAGCAGGTGCTTAGTCATCACTTTTGTGATGATGAATCTATAGAACTTACTGTATCTCTTCAGTTGCTTGGCCAGAGAGTAGACAGTAGCTTGACTTACAAGAAATTTCTCTTTGAGGTCTTGGAACTGCTGTTGGCTCTGTGCCAGCTGGGAGCACTGTAAGGCCATTTGACTTGCTGGGAGCTCAGACACGCCCATCCCTCTCCCTGCCTGAAAATTATGTCACCGGAATACGCCCATTATCTAGCTCCGCCTTGGAGATCCCCTCTGAACTCAGCACTAAGCTCCACACTGGGCACCTAGCCTGCTCACCAGAAATCCTGCCCGCCTACCAATAGCAGCTTGCTATGTCCATGTCCTGTTTGTCCACAGGCAATCAGAACGCCTTCCCTCCCTGTAAAGCCTCATGCCTAAGAGAGGTCGGGAATAACTTCTCTGGCCTCTTTCCCAGGACCACAGAACCTCACCCAAGAGCCGAATAAATTGGCGTCTAATTGTTCTCATGCAGGCTTCAGTTTCCTCATTTTAAACTCGGCAATAAACCTCACAAGAGAATAACCCTTACAACACAATTCCTGGTTGATTTATAGGATGTTCATTTCTGCCCTCTCCCTGGATAAATGTCCAGCAGATACCACATGCTGACGTTGGTGGCAGAAGAGGTATAACAGGGACTAGGGAGAAGAAACCAAAACACATGATGGGTCAAAAACAAGTGAAATCAAATAGGGTTAGTCAGCACTGAGGGATGACATCAGCTGGAATGGTTGACTTATGGTTAAGAAGAACTCCACCAATACCACAGAGTACTTAATCGCCAAAACAAAGTTTAGAATACCAGAGCTCAGAGCCGAAGGCACTGCCTGTAGCTCAGACTCTACAAGAGTGAGGGAGGTTAGCAGCCGGTATCTTCTGTTATTGCAGTCACAATAACAGAATTAGAAGGTGGGTGTGTCATGAAATCTTAGGAGCCCTGCATTCCAATTGCCCAGGCTGTGCTGAAACCAAGGCCCCCTGATCTCACCTGAGAGTCACAGATGGGGATTATTTCCTCAGCAGTCCCTCTCAGTATTTGCTCACCCTTGTGACAGTGCTGCAGACACACCTCTTTCTTAATATGTCTAAGCGCATTCCTCTGTCCATCTCTTGTGTGTATAAAATCATGGAGACAGTTTCCCAGAAGGTTATATTTTCTTAGTGGTCTTCAGGAAGTCACCCCACCTTCTCTAAGTTAAAACAGATCTTAAGGCTTTTCCACACATGAAAGATGTCAGACTTTTAGACTGCCATGATAGCTTCTGTGTTCTGCATTTTTTATTTCTGTACCTACTGAAAAGTTAATGAATAACTTAAAAATATTTTCTCCCTGACTCAGTGTTCTCCTCGCTGCATCCCATTGTTATGTTGATTTCTTTTCTCGCACTGAGGCAGCATCTTGGCTTTTCATTACACTGATGACCAGTTCACATCCCTAAGTGCAAAGCTCCTCCTCTATCTGTGGGTTCATTTGTTTCTTTGATGTCACTGACACTTTTTTCATACTTGTCACTTATCAATATCATTCTGTCTCACAAGAGCTCTTTTCAAGGTATCAAGTGATCAAAATCATTTGTGTATATCCCCTGAAAACGTGTGTGACCATACACTTTGGGAAGTCTTGTAAACCTGATGCTATTTTGTTGTTTGCATTTAGTTTTCCCATGTATTGAAAGGAAAAGGAACAGAACCACGAACAGTTCTTATGGAATATTATTGGAGATAAAATGCACACACACACAAACTTGCTATAACACCATTGATGTGTTGTTGCCTTCCCCCAGCAGAACCTGGCAAGATCATGGTGATGGTCGGGGTGGTTGATGATGCTCACTGTCTCTCACTGTGACCTGGTCTTGCTCCTCCACTTACCCTCGTGCTGCTGAAGCGTCTCCACACACCGTCCAATTCCGTCAGTAATTGGGGCTCCTCTCAAAGCTCCCTGAAATGAGTCCAGGTCTCAGGATGTCAGACACATTCCAGATACAAAAGCAACCCACACCGCAGAGCCACTGAACTCCAGCCTGGGTGACAGAGCAAGACTCTGACTGGTCAAGGTTTTTTTGTGAATGGGTCGACACTACGGGGGCAGAAATGTTCTGTGGTCTGGACTCACTGCTGCAGGACTTACCCTGGGACCTTCTTACCAAGAGCATCGGTGGAGCCTCCACTTCCAATGTCACTGTCGCCATGACTGCTAAGACGCTAGGCCTGCTGGTGGACAAAGAAGGTGTCCTCGGCAATTTCACCAATGAGAAATATCATGAAATGGCCTCTCACCTTCAGCGTTCCCAGTGCTGACCTCTGCATGGGCTGCGGGACAGGCTAGATGGACAGACACCTCCCCCTACCCATACCCCTCCTGTGTGTGGTTGGAAAACTTTTTTGTTTTGAAGATTTGGGTATTTTTTCCTGAGTAAAAAAGATTCTACTAAAAAAAGTTAAATAACCGCACATATGTGGGCTTATCATTTGAATCTGTATTCTTTGACTTCGATATATTTATGAATACTCACACCGGTCCTATTGTTCTGAAATTACTGTAGCTTTGAAATCAGGTTTAAAATCTAGCAGAGCAAGTCCTCCAACCTATTGCTTCTTCAAGACCAACTTGCCTATTCTAGGTTCTTCGATTTTCAAATACATTTTGAAACAAGCTTTTAAATTTCTCTAAAATCTCCTACTAGAAATATTAATCAGAATTGTGTTGCTGTAATATGCTAACCAAATTGAGTCTTTTAGTCAACAAACATGATATGTATTTCTCTTCTTGAATTTCTCTCACCAATTACTTTTAGGGGACTTGTACCTGCTTCATTCAAGTCCAAGGCTCTAGAATGCAAAGTCCGGGCTCCTCCAAAGCACTTCTCTTGCTCTGAGACATTAGGTATGGCCTGTGGTTGCCAGCACCATCTCTGCAGAGAGGCCTCCCCTAGTCCTGGTGACATCACTGGCCTGGTTGGGACCAGGGGTTACCTCCGATCATTTCCCTGTGTGTCATAAAGACATAATAGTATTCAAGCCCAGTATGCCGTGCTCACTGAAATAACCGAAACGCACACCCTGCACAGTATGGTTCCTGTTAAAAACTCTGCTCATATTAGTTCTTGGGATATGTACTGACAAAAACTAATTTTTTTTCAATTGTGTAATACAATATGGAGAAGTTGAATAAAACATAGGTATAAATGCTTCCATCTGTTAACATGTGAGCACTAGCTAGCACTAAATACCAGCTTCCAGAACCTTCCCACATGCCCCTTCCTCACCACAGACCCCTCCTACCCTATGCAACTACCACTACCTGATTTTCATGATGTTTGGTTCTTTATAATTTTCTGCTTCTCATGCCCCCATAATGGATCTAGGTTTTAACCTGTAATCATACATATATATTTTCTTATGCTTGGCTTTTTTTTTTTTTTCACTAAATGTTATGGATTTAACAGTCTTCACTAATTCATCCACTTTCATTGCCAATGAAATATACCATAATCTGTTTATGCATATACTTGATGACGGGCATCTGGGCTGTTTCCCATTTGTGGCTTACGCACTGCTGTGGTCATTCATGTAAGATGTCCAGGGGCATGGGAGCGCACCCATGTCCCTGCGTTACACACAAGGAATGGAATTCCAGTCCCTCTGTTTCACTGATCTAAGCCTTTTTGAGGTTAGGAAAAAATTGGGCTGGGTGTAGTGGCACACACCACAGTCGCAGCTACTCAGTAGGCTGAGGTGGGAAGATTGTTTGAGATCTGAAGGTCGAGGCTGCAGTGAGCTATAATCACATCATTGCATGCCAGCCTGGGAGAAAGAGTGAGAGCCCAACCCCCTCAAAAAATAATAAAATGGGAATGTGAAAGTCCCCATAATCAAGGGAAGGGAAAAGGGAGGAAGGGATGAGAAGCTGTAGAAAGAAAGGAGGCTGGGGGTGCTTGACCAGGGCACAGAGTAGGGTCGGGGGCATTCCAGAGAAAGGGTCTGCCATTCTGAGGGTGACAAAAGAACCACCTTGATGGTCAGCTCACCCCCCACCTCCTCCTCCCTGCTCTTCCACATGTGCCTCCTTGGCCCTTTGCTCATCCATCTCCGCCTCCCCCTTCTTGCCATCCTGCTCCATCTTGTCCTATCTGGTTAATGCTTCTCCTCCACTCCCCCAGCTTCATCCCTCTAAAGCACACAGCCACAGGCTCTGGAGCACTGGAAGCTTTGCCCAGTCTGAGAGAAACACGAGGGAATATTTTCCAGCAGCAGCAGAAATGCGAAAGCACCTTTCTCTGGCCAGGATGTTTTTGAGGAAAGCAAGTAAGATTGCTTCACCTGAGGCTCGGAGCCTCCACAGCCAACTCCCGCAGCCTGGGCAGTGCAGGCCTTAGGCCGACCCCTGGGATGGTGTGACCAAAAGTCAGGAACCTCTGGATATGCAGGGCTAACATCTGCCACAATCTTCCCGGAACTGAAACCACCAGGCATCTTGCGACATTACAGAGTTCCAAGGGAAAGCACCATGGCACCCTTTGTGGCCTCCACGGGGACTGCAAACAGAAAGTCCTAGGGACCCTCCTGGCCCTTGAAACTGTATAGGACAAAAGAGTAGGACCAACTTATTCTTTAAGTACAGTAGGCACACAAGCATATTTTAATTTCTTTTAAAATCAGAGGGAAATGGAAGAAATCAGCAGGTTTAGTGCAAGGCCTTTGTTCTCAGTGGTCTCTAACAAGGAACATCCTCCTCCAGGTAAGGGGTCCTACCTTCAGCTCTAGCAGTTCATCCTCTGTTCATCTTTCCTCTTTTTCATGCTGGAGGATTTCAGAGCTCAGGGCAAGAGTGTTTTTGAAGATCACAGTTGCTGCTTGTGTTAGGAGACATGAGGAAGAATTGCATTATGCATCCCATCAATGGCCCAATTTTCTCCCAGCCTACATGGATGAGCTGAAGTGAAATAACAGTTTAAGGAGGTCAAGTCACCAAAGAGGTTTCTATGGCCAAGGTAGCACTAGCGCAGCTCCTAAGCGAAACTCAGCATCACCACCAGGCAGCTACATCCTCAGCTCCATCGGCGCTGGAGTGTCATGGGTGAGAGGAAGGGAGAGATATAGCCATGAGGGGGAGGTGCAGGAACCCAAGAGTGTGTGAGGAGAAACAGAAAGAAACAGTGAATACAACTATTGAAAACAAAGGTGTTTTAAGTTATGTCATGAATCAGGAAGCTGTGATGACCTCCCTGTTGAAACAGAGTCCCTCGAGATGCCTCTCACCTGTCAGGAAGCCTCACAAGACCCCACATCACCATAGAGCTGTTGACCATGAACACGAGGTTCAGCAGGCCAGAGCTCCAAGCCATGTGACTTCCCCCTGAAAATCACATTGTGATGATTTATGAGGAACACTAATGAAATTAAGCTTATCACATATCATATATTGAGCAATTATGTACCAAGCTTATTAAAATTCATCACAGTCCTAGCCTGTAATTGCTCAGTGGGAATTCATCACAGTCCTAGCCCATAATTGCTCAGTGGGTAAAAGTTAATTTTTAGAGTGATGAATTATCTTTGAGTTACTGGTACAATATGAACTAATTCTCAATGGGATAAATAGAGGCAGTATAAATAACTCTGTATAAAACTTTTAATAATAAATATAAAAATCATCCACTTCCCAGATAAATATAAAAGATAATTCATTAAGAACAACGAGGATGGCTCAACTCCATTGCTCCGCAGAGAAACAAGAGTCTCTTTATGCGTGTCAATAAGCTGTACTTATCTTGACCTCTAAGTCCATGTAATAAAACAGAAAGCTTCAATTAATAAGTTAAAGTTTTTGGAGTTCAAAACAAAAACCACAAGCTAGCAGTGAAAACTGGCATCGTGCTTCTGCAGTCACAAATGGGCAGATGCAAAAGATTATATGGTTTGGGAAGGAAATTTGGCAACATATTGAGTTTAATCAGAACCTAAAGGCCACCGAGTATTTAACCTATAAGCTAACCATGACCCTACACGCGGATTATTCTGGTTTGACTTTGGCCAACACTCACTATTTTTTAAAACTTTTAGTTTCAGGAGTATGTGTGTGGGTTTCTTATATAAGCACATGTTGTATAGATTATTTCATTACCGAGGTACCAAAACTAATACCCAATAGTTACTTTTCCGCTCCTCTCTCTCCTCCTACCCTCCACCCTCTGGGGCTTACACCCCAGCCAAGACCCAACTCACTGGCTCAGATGCATGCGCTCTTGCCCACGTTCTTTTGAGTCCAGAGCCGGAACCAGGCTCCCAGTAAGAGTAAAGAGTGAATGCCTTGTGCCTCACTCATAGTTTCCTTGGTCATTTCTCTCTGATGTCTAACAGGTCATTTGTTTCTGAGCACTAGCATTTTTTAGCAGTATTAGAAATTAAATTATGTAGATTGTGTTTAAACATGCTGATATTGCACACAATAAACCGCAGTAAAATATAAACATAACTTTTGTATACACTGAAAGACCAAAAATTTTGTGTGACTCCCTTTATTATAATATTTAATTTATTGCGGTGGCCTGGAAATGAATCTGCATTATCTTTAAGAGTGTGTGTGTGTGTGTGTGTGTACCTCATCAATAATGTACTCCAGGGGTAAGTTGGTAAATGTGACAATAAAGTCATTACACTTCTCTAGCTCATAGTCCACTAAGTCATACACATCTCATGTTCCACACTAATAAGTTCAGACATAACTCTTTCAGGTTTCTTCTTTGTGAACCAGTTAAGCTTTAGGTAGATGACAAAGTAGAGGTTATGGGAGTTCGTGTAAGGTGATTGAAATAAGCTGAACAGCCAGATGTGGAGACACAGTCCAGCTGTCCAAGTAATTTTTACATAGAACTTATTGTACATATTTGTATCCATGTAAACAAATACTTATGTAGGTCAGGAGACATGGCAGTCTTCCTTGTTAAAAAAGACACTTCAAGTTCAGAAGAGGCACTTTTCTATTTTAATGCTGCCCTATAAAATTGAGGAGTGCCCTTTGCCATCCTCTTGGAGAAAAAGTGAGGCATCCGGGCGAATAGTTTTCATGACCTCATGCACTGTTCATAATGACTCTTCCAAATGTTCCTCATTATTACATAGCATAGTTCCTACACATTTTGTTGATCTAGTTTCTAGTAAAAGATCACTTGCATTTACTTTTTATATCTCTACTAACCCATGTGCATGTACACACATACACAAAAAGCCATGACCAGTATTTTTGTTTTATAAATGTAATCTATAGACTTTGAAATAGCTGTGGAAGAATTGAGAAAATAGCCTACTGGCTTAAGTGAGAAAGAAGAAAGATCAAAACAAATATGAGGCACAATCTTCTCTTGTTTTAAGGAATAAGTGAGCATTCTGCCAGGCCTCTAGCTGCAGGCCTCTGGAAAAAGTCCAGCCAGATCTCTAGGATCTTCTCTTGAGCACAACACACAATTTGGAGAAAGTTTAGAATTCAAACCCAAGGGAGGGTTTGACGCTTTGGACTCTGGAGAGGTTGAGAATTAGGAACTCTGGAGGTGGGCTGGCTTCTCCTGGTGGATCTCCCCGGGTGTGGTCCCTCCTTGCTCCAGCATTCACTCTTTTGTCAACACTCTTGCAGCACCCTGCCTCAGCTTCTGCCTAACAGATGGCTTCTGGCTTGTACAGGTTAGGAAACTATGACTCTCCATGTGTACTCTAATTTAGGACACCTGAGTGGGGATAACCACGGACCACGCTACACCTGAGTAGCTTGGTTACTCTTGCCTGGGTCTTCTGTGCCTGTCATTTGTCATTGATTTATAATCTTATTACCTACTTAATTAGTCACAAGCAGAGTACCGAATTTTGGGAGATTTCACCCTGTTCAAATGCAGTAAGTCCATAAGGAAGTAAAAAAGAGGGAAGGTACCTAGGTCACCTCTCAGACATACTTTAATCTATGTCTTGAGCCCAGATACTGTAGCAAACTCCATACCAGAGCACATATGCCTGACAATAGCTGAACATGAAGGCTACCCCCAACTATTAAGCCATTCTACATTCTATAGAGCATGTAAGTGTTCTGGGGTTACTGTCAATATTAGGTGGGGCTAATGCCTCATGACATAGAGTATTGGGAAGGACAATGGTAAAATTAGTGGAGTCACTGCAAGCAGAGTGAATGGTTTTCAGGATGCCTCACAATGTAGGAAAACAGTGATGGTAGGACATGGCCATGCCTAACCTAACGTAACCAAAAGTAGTCCCAATAATACAACAAAAAACAGAATGTGAAAGGATGCAATTGTTGCCTTTGTACTTACATTGCCTGCCAACTTCTGACCCCTACTACTACATAAAATACAAGAGCAGTCTATTGGGTTTATTTTCTCTAGCAGATCCCTCTCTGCTTGTGGTTCTGTTTGAAGGATAGAAAATATACTCACATGTTCTTGTGAATACAAATTGCATCTGATTTGTGAATTATGTGAAGATTTGAGTAAGAAAATAAAGTGATACTAACCTTAATTAAATCCAAATTTCCACCTGCCCCCAAGCGTGAACCAGACTTTGTAATTTGTTCTTGCACATTCCTCTCGGATTCCCTTTTTCAAAACCAATATTCTAGATTCTCGATGTGTTAGTTTTGCATCTTTATTCTTTTTAAAATTTTGACATTAAATGCGTAACTCATTGTATTTATTTATTTGTTTATTTATTTTGGAGACAGAGTCTTGTTCTATCACCCAGCCTGGAGTTGGAGTGCAGTGGCACGATCTTGGCTCACTGCAACCTCCACCTGCCAGGTTCAAGTAATTCTCCTGCTTCAGCCTCTTAAGTATCTGAGATTACAGGCATCCACCACCATGCCTGGCTAATATTTTGTATTTTTAATAGACATGGGGTTTCACCATGTTGTTCAGGCTGATCTCAAACTCCTGACCTGAGGCGATCCACTGGTCTTGGCCTCCCAAAGTGCTGGGATTATAGGCATGAACCACTGTGCTTGGCCCTATTTGGGAGATTTTTAAATTTGCCTTTAAAGCTGTTTACTGAAATATAATATAAATACTTGCAAGTAAATCACAGTGTAGGTCAAATCATTTAAACACATTGCATTGTGTAACTAGCACCCTAGATCAAAACCCTCAGAAGCCTTTTCATGTTTCCTTTCAGTTTCTATTCTCTTCCAAAATACTGACAAATATAACTGTTTTTAATTTTTTTCCCCTCAAATATATGTGTAGTATCGGACCCACTATTAATATGCTTTCCATGGTTAAACAACCTTTGTTTTTTTAGGCCTAAACTGCAGTCCAGTTACATTTAATGCACATCTCTATAGCCTTATTTTGGTGAGTTTAATAGCTATTTTCAGAAGTGTACAGTAATTTGGATCCAAAGATATAAGCAAATGGAAAATTTACTTGTAACATACTCTAGGAGATTTTCCACAAACTAATTACCCTTGACTTTAATGAAATGTAACCCCCATGTAAATATAACTTAATAGCCAACCTATCAAATGAATTCCTTTAAGTCATGATAGTCTACTGGCATGCCAAATTGATTTAACAGTGTGCATTTTTCACGCTTGTGAAGTAGATAAAATTTCACTGTATATCTTGAAGTTTGGATTTCTCTTTTCGCGCCATTGCACTCCAGCCTGGGTAACAAGAGCGAAACTCCATCTCAAAAAAAAAACAAAAAACACAACTCGTTTCAGCCTGATGAAATAAAGGCTCACTTCTTTTTTGAGTCTTTTCTTCTGCAAGCGGGTAAAGGAGAGTCTTGCAACTTTGTTGCTAGAGTCTCTGTTTTCCAGATGCCTAATGGTAGCTGCGCCTAGCCGAGATCGCGCCATTGCACTCTAGCCTGGGTAACAAGAGCGAAACTCGGTCCAAAAACAACAAAAAAGGCCTTTATTTCACCTAGCTGAAACGAGTTTGTTTTTTGTTTTTTTGTTTTGTTTTGTTTTGTTTTTTTGAGATGGAGTTTCGCTCTTGTTACCCAGGCTGACTCGTTTCAGCGGGATGAAATAAAGGCGTCACTTCTATTTTGAGTCTTTTCTTCTGTTTGCGGGCAAATGAGAGTCTTGCAACTTTGTTGCTAATAGATTCTCTGTCTTACAGATGCCCAGTGGTAGCTGCGCCGAGCCGAGATCGCGCCATTGCACTCCAGCCTGGGTAACAAGAGCAAAACTCGGTGTCAAAAAACAAAAAAACAAAAAAACTCGTTTCAGCTGGATGAAATAAAGGCGTCACTTTTTTTTTTTTTTTTGAGATCGAGTTTCGCTCTTGTTACTCAGACTGGAGTGCAATGGCGCAATCTCAGCCTGGCGCAGCTACCGTTAGGCATCTGCAAAACAATCAGAGAATCTACTAGCAATAAAGTTGCAAGACTCTCCTGGGTCCACATGCGGAAGGAAAGACTCAAAAGTGAGCCTTTTGGAGGTTGATCGCGCCATTGCACTCCAGCCTGGGTAACGAGCGAAACTCGGTCCAAAAACAACCACCACCAAAACGCCTTTATTTCATCCAGCTGAAACGAGTTGGGTTTTTTTGTTTTTTACTTTTTGAAATGGAATTTCGCTCTTGTTACCCAGGCTGACTCGTTTCAGCCGGATGAAATAAAGGCGTCACTTCTATTTTGAGTCTTTTCTTCTGTATGCTGGTAAAGGAGAGTCTTGCAACTTTGTTGCTAATAGATTCTCTGTCTTGCCGATGCCTAATGGTAGCTGCGCCCAGACGAGATCGCGCTGTTGAAAAAAAAAAAGCTAACTCGTTTCAGCTGGATGAAATAAAGGCGTCACTTTTTTCATTTCTTATTTTTATTTTTTATTTTTTGAGACCGAGTTTCGCTCTTGTTACCCAGGCTGGAGTGCAATGACGCGATCTCAGCCCGGCGCAGCTACCGTTAGGCATCTGCAAAACAATCAGAGAATCTATTAACAATAAAGTTGCAAGACTCTCCTTGGCCCACATGCGGAAGAAAAGACTCAAAACAAAAGTGAGCCTTCTGGAGGTTGCGGTGAGCCGAGATCGCGCCATTGCACTCCAGCCTGGGTAACAAGAGCGAAACTCGGTCCAAAAACAACAAAAAAGGCCTTTATTTCACCCAGCTGAAACGAGTTTTTTTTTTTTTTTTTTTTTTTTTTTTTTGAGATGGAGTTTCGCTCTTGTTACCCAGGCTGACTCGTTTCAGCCGGATGAAATAAAGGCGTCACTTCTATTTTGAGTCTTTTCTTCTGTATTGCGGGCAAAGGAGAGTCTTGCAACTTTGTTGCTAATAGATTTTCTGTCTTGCAGATGCCTAATGGTAGCTGGGCCAAGCCGAGATCGAGCCATTGCACTCCAGCATGGGTAACAAGAGCGAAACTGGGTCTCAAAAAAAAAAACAAAAAAAAAACCTCGGTTCAGCCGGATGAAATAAAGCCTCACTTCTTTTTTGAGTCTTTTCTTCTGCATGCGGGTAAAGGAGAGTCTTGCAACTTTGTTGCTAGAGTCTCTGTTTTCCAGATGCCTAATGGTAGCTGCGCCTAGCACTAAACAAAAACAAACAAAAAAACTCGTTTCAGCTGGATGAAATAAAGGCGTCACTTTTTTCATTTCTTATTTTTATTTTTTAGTTTTTGAGACCGAGTTTCGCTCTTGCTACCCAGGCTGGAGTGCAATGACGCGATCTCCGCCCGGCGCAGCTACCTTTAGGCATCTGCAAAACAGAGAATCTATTAGCAATAAAGTTGCAAGACTCTCCTTGGCCCACATGCAGAAGAAAAGACTCAAAATAAAAGTGAGCCTTTCGGACATTGCGGTGGGCCGAGATCGCGCCATTGCACTTTAGCCTGGGTAACAAGAGCGAAACTCGGTCCAAAAAAAAAAAAAAAAAGACCTTTATTTCACCCAGCTGAAATGAGTTGTTTTTTTTGAGATGGAGTTTCGCTCTTGTTACCGAGGCTGACTCGTTTCAGCCGGATGAAATAAAGGCGTCACTTCAATTTTGAGTCTTTTCTTCTGCATATCGGCAAAGGAGAGTCTTGCAACTTTGTTGCTAATAGATTCTCTGTTTTGCAGATGCCTAATGGTAGCTGGGCCGAGCCGAGATCGAGCCATTGCACTCCAGCATGGGTAACAAGAGCGAAACTGGGTCTCAAAAAAAAAACCTCGGTTCAGCCGGATGAAATAAAGGCGTCACTTCAATTTTGAGTCTTTTCTTCTGCATATCGGCAAAGGAGAGTTTTGCAACTTTATTGCTAATAGATTCTCTGTTTTACAGATGCCTAATGGTAGCTGCGCCTAGCGGAGATCGCGCCATTGCACTCCAGCCTGGGTAACGAGCGAAACTCAAGTCTTAAAAAAAAAAAAAAAAACTCGTTTCAGCTGGATGAAATAAAGGCGTCACTTTTTTCATTTCTTATTTTTTTTTGAGACCGAGTTTCGCTCTTGTTACCCAGGCTGGAGTGCAATGGCGCGATCTCAGCTCGGCGCAGCTACCCTTAGGCATCTGCAAAACAATCAGAGAATCTATTAACAATAAAGTTGTAAGACTCTCCTTGGCCCACATGCGGAAGAAAAGACTCAAAATGAAAGTGAGCCTTTCGGACGTTGCGGTGAGCCGAGATCGCGCCATTGCACTCCAGCCTGGGTAACAAGAGCGAAACTCGGTCCAAAAACAACAACAAAAACAAAAAAGGCCGTTATTTCACCCAGCTGAAACGAGTTGTTTTTTTTTTGTTTTGTTTTTGAGACGGAGTTTCGCTCTTGTTACCCAGGCTGACTCGTTTCAGCCGGATGAAATAAAGGCGTCACTTCTGAGTCTTTTCTTCTGTATGCGGGCAAAGGAGAGTCTTGCAACTTTGTTGCTAATAGATTCTCTGTCTTGCAGATGCCTAATGGTAGCTGGGCCGAGCCGAGATCGCGCCATTGCACTCCAGCCTGGGTAACAAGAGCGAAACTCGGTCTCAAAAAAAAAAAAAAAAAAAAAAAAAGGTGACGCCTTTATTAAATCCAGCTGAAAGGAGTCAGCCTGGTCATATCCTTGGCCCACTTTTGAATGGCTTCTTTTTTTTCTTGTAAATCTATTTTAGTTCTTTGTAGATTCTGGATATTAGCCCTTTTTCAGATGGGTAGATTGCAGTTTTTTTCCCATTCTATTGGTTACCAGTTCACTCTAATGACTGTTTCTTTTGCTGTACAGAACCTCTGAAGTTTAATTAGATCCCATTTGTCTGTTTTGGCTTTTGCTGTCATTGCTTTTGGTGTTTCAGCCATGACGTCCTTGCCTATGCCTATATATGGTCTTGCCTAGGTTTTCTGCTAGGGTTTTTATGGTGTTAGGTCTTATGATTAAGTCTTTAGTTCATCTGGAGTTAATTTTAGTTTAAGGTATAAGGAAGGGGTCCAGTTTCTGCTTTCTGCACATGGCTAGCCAGTTTTCACAACGCCATTTATTAAACAGGGAATCCTTTCCCCATTGCTTGTCTTTGTCAGGTTTGTCCAAGATCAGATGGTTGTAGATGTGTGGTATTGCTTCTGAGGCCTCTGTTCTGTTCCATTGGTCTGCATCTCTGTTTTGGTACCAGTACCATGCTGTTTTGCTTACTGTGAACTTGTAGTATAATTTGAAGTCAGATAAGAGTGATGCCAATACCTTAAGAAAATAAAATCTATATGTTGGAAAACCTAAACTCACATTTAAATTAGAACAACCCTATTTTTATGGACTATTAAAATTATTTCTAAGAAATAATAACATTACATAATTAATTTATGAATATGTCATTGTTAGCATTTTTTTGAAGTGCCCATTCTATAAAGTTTAATTGTATAAGTCGCCTCAGAAGCATCTAATTTCCAAAATGTTCAATTATAAGCCAATGCAAGTCTAGCTGCTCGCAGCTCAAAAGCCAAAATGGTGCAGATTGTAGGTCTTCACATCTTTTGATGGCTCTCTTGAATTACTGTCTACCCAGAGTTCCAGTTGGCATCAACTTGACTGCAACTGGGTTGTAGATTATCTTACTTTGAGATAATCTCTAGGCGAGGGAGTGTTCTGCAGTTGGGTCTCCATGTCTGGTTTGCTCCATGCCTGGTATACTAAACAAGTATATCATTAGATAAGCATGCCTTGTATAAGGGAGTGTCTGGTGAGAAAGGGAAAGAAAGAATTTTAAGGTGCATTTCAAAGCTATGTTCTGAGTTTAGAGAAAATCATTTAAAAGGCATTTTAAAGATAAGATATTCAGTTATACTCTCCAAAGTGATTTCTTATGCAATATTATTGATCAGTTAAACTATGTTGCACATCAACATTTCTGCATGTTATTTTCAATAAATATAAAATGATAGGGTTGTAAGATATAGATAATTACATTTTACATATGCTTGGGTACATGTGATTTAACATCTTCCACTTTTCAGATACATTAAGTGCTAACTCATGACAATGGCACAGCTGTATAATATTTTTTGTTGTTTATTTATTGAAACAGGGTCTTGCTGTTGCACAGGCTGGACTGCAGTGGTATGATCATGGCTCATTGTAGACTCAACCTTCCAGGCTCAAGCAAGTCTCCTGTCTCAGCCTTGTGAGTCACTGTGGATACAGGCATGCACCACCACACCTAGTTAATTATTTTAAATTTTTATTTATGTATAGATGAAATCTCACTATGTTACCCAGATTTGTGTAAAATATTTAATAGAGAAAATACCATGGACACAAACTGAGATAGAAGTTTGAATCCTAGAGCACCACTCTCTATAGTTTCAAAGCAAGTGTGTCAGTTTGATGTTTAAATAGTTATCCTAAGATAAGATTTTCAACATGACACCGTGCCAGCTGGTCCTAAGCTATATAGCTAATGTGTTTCATATTTATAATCAAAAAGTATTTTTCCAATTTATTATAGAGAACACAAGAAAGAATCTGAACAGTAAAAGTATCCCATGTTCAAAACCTTTTTGTAAAATTCTAGGTTAAAAAATATATTTAAAGTTTTTCTCTTGTAGGTGTTCTCAGCTTCTTTACTTTTTATAAGGGGTTATATTTCATGGATTTTATCTAAATTTATTTGGCAAAGTGGCTTTTTCCCCTTGAAGCATTTGAGCTATGTAAACATAATGAATACTTCAAAAGGAGACACTATGTTCATTTCTAACATAAAATAATAAAGGAAGAAAGGAAAGGAATGTTAAATAGTATTCTTGTGGTGTAAAATTTTATCCCATGGTGAAATTATTTGCTCAAATCTTAATACTTGAAAAAGATGCAAAGCAATCAAGTCTTGCCTATAAAACATGCACTTGGTCAATGTCAAGTTATACAATATATAGAATTTGGCTCTTCCCAACTGATAATAAAATGTATGTGTAGAATACATAAGTGCAAACCATAAAAGGTATGTTTCATATTTTTGTATTTGTAAAGATGTGATGAAATTCCAGAAGATTTTTCTGAATTCCTGGAGAGTTCCATAGTCACATCTGCAATACTGCAATATTTAAACTGTTTATTGCAACACTGTGCTCAAGTACCTGCACACCCTCTCTGTGACAGATCCCCCAAAATTTGGAACTATTGTTGTAACTATACAATTTTTTTTTTTGAGACAGAGGCTCACTCTGTCCTCCAGGCTGGAGTGCAATGGCTTCATCTCGGCTCACTGCAACCTCCACCTCCAGGGTTCTAGTGATTTTCCTGCCTCAGCCTCCCACGTAGTTAGGTTTACAGGTGCCTGCCACTATGCCTGGCTTACTTTTTTATTTTTAGTAGAGACAGGGTTTCACCATGTTGGCCAGGCTGGTCTCGAAGTCCCTACCTCTGGTGATCCGCCTACCTCACCCTCCCAAAGTGCTGGGATTAGAGGCATGAGTCACTACACTCAGCCTATAAAAGACTTCATATCACTTATTCTATTCATCATTGTATATAATTGACATGTCACAATCACATATGATAAACAGCTCTGGTTTTAAGAGGTTAATAGATGTCCTTTTAAAAAATTTAATTACATTAGTTCTAAACATATCTAATTCTCAGAAATTCAGTTCAATGTCTTCCTTCATTCTTCTCACCCTAAAAATCTGTTTTCAATACGCTTTTCCTCTTTTTCCTCTTTCTGATCCTGGGAGGATGTTGGTTCTACTAACAGTAGTAATACTGATGATATTAATAATTTTGACAACAGTAATTGAGCAGAATAGGATAGCATTACTTTTGACCCTCATTACTCTAAGTGCTTAGACAGGGACAAACTACATTGTTACTCTTTATCTCCAACTTGAACTTAAAAGCTGGTTTTTCAACTGCCTTAGATTATTTTTGATTCAGATTTCTACATGCAGTAGCCACAGGAAATGAGCACTGAAATCAGTTTCAAAAAACACTGATGATCTCTATTTATCATTTATATACTGTCAACTGGTAATCTTTTTGAGTTATATTTCTGATTCATCTATGAAATGCAGCTACATCACAGTGTTTATGTGTGAATATATACCTGGTATGTAAATTAAATAAAATATCCATTAAATGTGTCTGACCATTCTCTGTACATATTTTGGAATTTATATAATGTCTAAAAAGTTCATATCTCTCTTCCCATGTTTCTTTTTTTCTCTTTTTAAAGTTTCATTAGCTTCATTATGTCACCCTAACTAGTTTTCTATATATTCCTTTAATTTCTATCTTTAGTCTTTCTCCTTTCCGCTTCTCATCTTTTCCATGGTACACTTAAAGTTAAAGTTTTGATTTTCTTTATTCAAATGTTTTATGTAGGCATTCATTATCTCTCATTAAATAACTTTTATCTTGAGTTTTCTATTAATATCTCATAATAAAAATATTGCTTAGTTATCCAGATTAGAAATTTCATTTGATTTTTTTAAACCTTTTTGTCATTCAGTGGTTCTTGTCCCTGTCTACACTTTGGTCTCACCAAAGAAACTCAAAATAAACAAAGAAACAAAACCACAAAGCAAAGTTAAGTGAAGTAAATCAGTCGCACAGAAAAAAGAAAAGCATGGCATCACTTACATGAGGAATATGGAGTGATCAAATTCATGGAGACAGAAAGTAGAATGGTGGGTGCTGGGGGATAGGGTTTGGGAAGAGAAGGCTTAGAAATTTTTAATGTGTACAGTTTTAGTTTGGCAAGAAGAAAAGAGTTCTAAAAATGAATGGGAATAATTGTTGCACACAATGTTAATGTGTTTAATATCACTGAATTGTACAGTTAAAAATGGTTAAGATGCTAAATGCTATGTTTCTTGCCACTATTCAAAATAATTTCTCATTCAGTATGATATTGGCTGTGGGTTTGCCATAAATAGCTTTTATTATTTTGAGATATGTTCCATCAATACCTAGTTTATTGAGAGTTTTTAGCATAAAGGGCTGTTGAATTTTGTTGAAGGTCTTCTCTGCATCTATTGAGATAATCATGTGGTTTTTGTCTTTGGTTCTGTTTATGTGGTGGATTACATTTATTGACTTGCATACGTTGAACCAGCCTTCCATCCCCAGGATGAAGCCTAATTGATCATAATGGATAAGTTTTTGACATGCTGTTGCAATCAGCTTGCCAGTATTTTATTGGCAAGATTTTTCATCTATGTTCATCATGTATATTGGCCTGAAGTTTTCTTTTTTGGTTGAGTCTCTGCTGGATTTTGGTATCAGGATCTGGAAACCATCATTCTCAGCAAACTGAGACAAGAACAGAAAATCGAACACCAAATGTTCTCACTCATAGGCAAGTGTTGAACAATGAGAACACATGGACACAGCAAGGGGAGCATCACACACTGGAGTCTGTTGGGGGAGAATAGGGGAGGTACGGTGGGAAGTAGGGAGGTTGGAGAGGGATAACACAGGGAGAAATGCCAGATAGGGTAATGGGGGGATGGAAACAGCAAACCACATTGCCATGTATGTACCTATGCAACAATCCTGCATGTTCTGATCATGTACTCCAGAACCTAAAGTGCAAATTATATATATATATTTTTTTTTCTAAAAACTTAAAAAAATATATGAAATTTTTGGCTATACCCAAAAGAAAACCCAATCCATTGAATTTCTGTTTAGAGAAATTAGAATATAAAGTTTAAAATGCTTAAAGATTTTTTAAAACTACACACGGAGTTTCAAAAGATGCCTAGAACTCCATCCCAACAATTAAATCAGCCTCTGGATCAGAGTCCTGGGCATCAGTAAATTTTAAAGTCTTCTGAGATTTATTATGTAATCAGGTTTTGGAGACAGTGTTTGACATTTTCACTTTTTTACTTCCCCATGTACACATTCAGATATCACATTCTATAAAATCAGTATATTCACCATTGCATTGAGAAATTGTGAAGTAGTACTTTTGTCAGTCATTAGAATGCATTAAATATAGATGCAACTCAATTAATATTCACTATTAGAATAACAGAAAAAGTATTTTAAAGGCCAGAGTGGTGAGAAATACACATTTGATAAATGCATATTGAAATCTGAAAATGTAAATACAGAATATTATTATTTTTGTAGCTTTTATTAACATGAGGAAGCAGCAGAAATATAATCTGAGAAAAATAATATTTAAAAGGTAAAGGATATTGTAGTTTTACGTATGTTGCTCTGTATAACATTATTGGTGAAGGTGAAGAGCAAAGATAGATAAGAAAATACATTTAAAAAAAATTTTTAGGAATTAGTAGTAATTAAATGTTTTCCAAAAATTTAAAAGGTGGAAAAGAAAACGGGAAAGCTGTAGTTGTAGAATATTCCTAGAACATTAGCAAATAATAGACTGTGATGTTACATTAGCATGTTTTATTTTTTATTCTTTTAGTAATGAGAGTTTTTGAATCATTGTCAGGCGAATAGGCAAAATACAGTAAACTACTAAAGATGAAAAAATTGAATACTATTTTTCAACTGTCAAATCAGAAAAGATTTCAAATGATAAACCACGAAGGAAACGGTGCTGTGAGATGAAGTCATTAACCACATGTGATTATCGTACACCTGAGATATTTCTGCAAATTGCAATGTGTTAAAATATCTTAGTTTTTATATTTATTCCATTTTGATATAAATGCTTTAGACATGTTAAGATAAATAAAATGTGTACTTAAAATTCATTTCACCTTTTCCCTACTTCTTAATTTGTGGATACTAGAAAAGTTTAAAATCACCCTTTTGGTTCACTTTATATGTATTTTGAACAGAGCTATTCTATGGTTTGCAGTGTAGAAAATTAATATTTTTTCACATTTTATTTTTGCAAATGAATATTGAAAATAAAAATGTATGCCTCAAAACGGCTAACGGTTTTTTCAAATTTTAAATATTTTCCCATCTCTCTATCAGCTGATTAAAACTCATTTGTAGGTAAGAGTGACAAACATGATGGTTGCTGAGCATTGGGTCTACCTTCTGAATACTAAGTCACAGCTCAGGTCAAAGTGCCTGTGTATGCCTCTTCTGATGGACTAAGTTAACTCTAAGAAGGCTCTCCGTTTAGCCAGCCATGGAAAATGGTGGTAGACGCTACCACAGCACTTTTCCATTTCAATTCATGCTAGAATTTGTTGTTACTTGTTTTTCTGGATTTTTTTGCTCTTCCACAGACACATACGCATATGTGAATTTTATAATTAAAACCTATAAATTTTAAGTAAAAAAAATACTTCAAATCTCCCATAATAAGATATAGGACTAAGATATAGTAATGAAGTAATTTATGATTTATCTAATAGGGTAGCAATATTAAACTATTTTGGTACTCAGTTGTTTTTTGATTAAACCATATGAAATAGTGTCAGCAGTTTACTAAAGTACAAAATGTTGAAGTTGTGATGGGGAAACTGGATGCTTGCGTGGTTAACATTTCACCCCCTGCCGCACTGTTGAAGGCACATCTGCTGAATGATAAGCCACAGAGTTTGCATTTCTTCCTGGCTACTTATAAGAAAATATAATTGGAGAGTAGTTGTGAAAGCATACGAGTATAATTTAAAAATTAAAAAAAAATTGTCAAATATAAGTGTAACTCTGTTTAGTAAATTTAAAGTAATTGCATTTTATCATTAAAAAATAATATCCGGAGTCACGATGATGGCGGCCACCATCCTGTGGTGAGCTAGCGGATTCCTTGCTTGCCTCGCAGAGCCCCTCGCCCCTCCTGCATTCTCAGTGGCTGGCGCCCGGCAGTGAGGAGCTCGCGGGGAAGGCCGCAGTCCCGGTAGCAGCGGCGCTGCTCGGAGCAAGGGCTGCAAGAGAGGCCCCTCCGCTGGGCGAATGTGACAAGCCCCCCCACTCCCACCGCCTTCCTCCCCAGAGCGCGAGGAGCGCGGGCGACCCCGGGGCCCCGCCAGGCCACAGACCCCGCCCAGCGGTCAGCACCCGGTGCAGGCCGGGCAGCAGAGCGGCGCGGCGGCACCATGCATGTCACCCTGAAGACCCTCCAGCAGCGGACCTTCAAGATAGACATCGACCCCGAGGAGAGGGTGAAAGCACTGAAAGAGAAGATTGAATCTGAAAAGGGGAAAGATGCCTTTCCGGTAGCAGGTCAAAAATTAATTTATGCAATTTGATTTATTTGGAGAAAGGGTCTGGCTCTGTCACCCAGGCTAGAGTGCAGTGGTGTAATTATGGCTCGCTGTGTCCTCGAACTCCTGGGCTCAAGTCATCCTCCTCCTCCCTCAGCCTCCCAAGTAGCTGGGAGCATAGGCAAAATCCTCGATGATACTGCTCTCAAAGAATATAAAATTGATGAGAAAAACTTTGTGGTGCTTATGGTGACCGAACCCAAAGCAGTGTCAACACCAGCACCAGCTACAACTTAGCAGTCAGCTCCTGACAGCACTACAGCAGTTACTTCCTCCATGGTAACAACTGTGGCTCAGGCTCCAACCCCTGCCCTGCTTTGGCACCCACTTCCACACCAACATCCGTCACTCCAGCATCAGCGACAGCATCTCCTGAACCTGCACCTGCTAGTGCGACTAAACAAGAGAAACCTGCAGAAAAGCCAGCAGAGACACCAGTGGCTGACAACATCAACTGACAGTACATCAGGAGATTCTTCTCTGTCAAACCTTTACGAAGATGCAACAAGTGCACTTGTGACGGGTCAGTCTTATGAGAATATGGTCACGGAGGTCATGTCAATGGGCTATGAATGAGAGCAAGTAATTGCAGCCCTGAGAGCAGTTTCAACAACCCTGACAGAGCAGTGGAGTATCTTTTAATGGGAATCCCTGGAGATACAGAAAATCAGGCTGTGGTTGACCCCTCTCAAGCAGCTAGTACTGGGGCTCCTCCGTCTTCAGCGGGGGCTGCAGCCGCAGCAACTACAACAGCAACGACTACAACAACGAGTTCTGGAGGACATCCCCTTGAATTTTTACAGAATCAGCCTCAGTAAATAATGAGACAAATTATTCAACAGAATCCTTCCCTGCTCCCAGCGTTACTACAGCAGATAGGTCGAGAGAATCCTCAGTTACTTCAGCAAATTAGTCAATACCAGGAGCGTTTTATTCAGATGTTAAATGAACCAGTTCAAGAAGCTGGCGGTCAAGGAGGAGGAGGTGGAGGTGGCAGTGGAGGAATTGCAGAAGCTGGAAGTGGTCATATGAACTACATTCAAGTAGGAATGTAGCCTCAGGAAAAAGAAGCTATATAGAAAGGTTAAAGGCATTAGGATTTCCCGAAGGACTTGTGATCCAAGTATATTTTGCTTGTGAAAAGAATGAAAATTTGGCTGCCAATTTTCTTCTACAGCAGAACTTTGATGAAGATTGAAAGTGACTTTAATATCTCACACTTCACACCAGTGCATTACACTAACTTGTTCACTGGATTGTCTGGGATGAACTTGGGCTCATATCCACAATACTTGGTATAAGGTAGTAGATTGTTGGGGGTGGGGAGGGAGGGCTCTAGGATACAGGGCAGGGATAAATACAGTGCATGTCTGCTTCAGTTAGCAGATGCTGCAACTCCACACAGTGTGTAAAATATTATACAACCAAAAAGCGGCTTTTGCAGGTCTTTATTTCTCCTGTAAAACAGTAAGTAACTTTTCCTAGGTTTCACTCTTTTTAGTGTACTAGATCCAGAAACTTAGTGTAATGCCCTGCTTTATATTTCTTTGACGTGACATTGGTTTCAGAAAGAATCTTAGCTACCTAGAATTTACAGTCTCTGTTTCATGGCAACACTGGATAATGGCTTTGTGAAATTTAAAAAATTTTTGTAGTGACTGTAAACAGAAATGCCAAATTATTGATGGTTAATTGTTTCTGCTTCAAATATAAGTATAAAATTAATGTGTAAGGAAGCCCATTCTTTCATGTTAAATGCTTGGGGTGGGAGGGGAGAAAGGGAACCTTTTCTTAAAATGAAAATAATTACTGCCATTTCTAAATTTCTTGATCATTGAATGTGAGACCCTTCTAACATGATTTGAGAAGCTGTGCAAGTATAAGCAGAGTTATTTTCCTGTTTACATTTTTTTTTGTTTTGTTTCATTTTGGGGAAAAATTGGTAGGTGTCTAATTACTGTTTACTTCATTGTTACATTGCAGTAAAAGTTTTGAAACAACCATTGCATGTTTGCTTTTGATGTATCCCTCTGTGAAATTAGCACTTTTGGGGCCAATGGAGAAATGCAGCATTCACTCTCCCTGTCTTTTCCCCTTCCCTCAGCAGAAATGTGTTTATCAGCAAGTCGTGAGTCAAACCGCTGCCTTTTAAAAACACCCACAAAATGCTGATTGCTGATTCAGTTGAAAATTAATGCAAATGTTTCAAACTGGGTTTCTGATATTTGTAAATGTGTTTCTTTATTAGATAAGAGTGTATTACCATTAAAATCATTAGTATATTGCTTTTGAAAAGAGATGGCAGACAGAAGTATAATCCAGCATCTTTTATTGCATTGGAAAGACTGGCAGAATCTTTTGGAAGGGCTGAGAGATGTGGCTGGAAAGTACCTTGGAAAATATACAGTCAAGATATCTCACGGCATATGAAAAGAAAAATCTTTAAAAAATAATAATATCCAACTTTGCTTTCTCCAGCTCCAGAAAAGTGAGATTTACTATTCTGTATTATTATTAATAGAAATATTTATTTTTACTATGACAATGAATACTTCTATCAATGTTACTTCAACTACTACCTCTACCATTACTACAGTTACTATACAGTTAATATTACATAAGGCAGACCACAGGTTTATTTTATGTATTTTTTTTCTGATTCCAAGAGTTTTAAATTTGTATTCAACTGTTTGATATGATTACAGAGTTTTTCCATCTTTATTTCCCCCTTTCCAACCAAAAAATGGAGCATAAACATGATTTTGTGGCTAAAAAGAGTTTTTTTACTTTTAAAAATAGTTAAATCATTTCTACAATCAGTCTTAAAAAATTAGAAATATAGAAATTTAATCACTTTCCATACACTTCAGCAGCCACATGCTTCACTCTACCAGTGAACAGGAGAGAACTTTCAGAAGTATTGAATATATCTATTGCTGTGATTGTGATGATGGTTTCATGGAAATTTGCATCTGTCTAAACTTATAAAGTCAAATACATTAAATATATACAATATCTTTGTATAGAAATTGTTCCGCAATAAAACTCATAAATAAAAAATAGTGGTCCCCAAAAGGAAAACATTAGAACTTTTATCTACTGATTTTACTTAAAATTACTTACTTTGAATATTAGAAGCTTTGATTGAGAATATTGCCATGATTAGCACATGATAGTGCCATAGCAGAAGTATGTTATCAAGTGAATGAACCTCACTGCTTAGGAACATATGGATCTTGTGTACTTGTTCTAGCTTAAGCCCTACTGTTCTTCCTCCTTCAATATGGACATTGGCCATTCAGTACCTTATCGTCTTACATTAGCTCTGGGTAATAAATATACATGTGACTTTTTTCCATTTTTTTGTTTTAATCTCAGAACTTGTGTTTTCATCACTTCTTATTTTGTTGCCAACTGTAAGTGAAATTGTTTAATTTTAGTATTAAACCTATTCTGAGACATATTCCACTATATGAGATTATTTTACACTGAATATGATTATGCCAGAAATCAATGTATAATCTTCAATT